TCCCCCCCCCCCCCCCATACCGCTCCGACAATGGTACGTCCCGCCGGCCGGGCGCTGGGGTGGAGGGGTGTAAAGCGCTCTACTCCGGCTCGCAGTAGGGCGACGTCCGGGCTGTTTTATGAAATAGACTAGTTCCTTCGCGTTTCTGCTGTGCTCTTTCGGCTCCCTTTGTTCCCTTTTCCCGCACCGTCTCGGGTTTTGCCCCCGATCTGCTAGGCTCCTTTCTTCCAGGTCATCCTGGCCCTGGCCCCAATCCTGGTCACCAGGTGCCGGGCGACTGTCCAGCACTGACTCACAGAGAGCCTCGGAAGGTCTTGCTGCTGCCTTGCGTGGTGCGAACGCCTGTGTCCCCACACACGGGGAGGCTGAGGCAGTTCAAGCTCAGCCCAAGGCAGTTTATGTATAGTGCAAAGGCCCTTTGGTTCAGTCCCCAACACAGGCATTCCTCATTCAACGAGCTCTATTTCAGCAACTTGGTGGTTAAATGAGGAATCATATATAGTGTGTACATTACAATATGCAGAACAAATAAATAGTCAAAGGAAACTCCACCCTCCAAATACAAAGACCCAATCCAAAAGCGGGCATCTGAAATGAACAGACATTTCTCAGACAAACAAGTAAAAGCAGTAAATAAATATATGGGAGATGCAGATGAAAACCACACTTGAGATTCCACCTTACCCCACAAAGAATGGCTATCAAGAAATCACACAATAACAAATGTTGGCGGGGTTGTGGGGAGAAAGGAACCCTTCTCCATTGTTGGTGGGAGTGCAGACTGGTGCAATCACTGTGGAAATCAATGTGGAGATGCCTCACAGAACTAGGATTAGAGGTCCCGTTTGACCCAGCTATCCCCCTGCTGGGTGTCTTCCCCCCAAAATTAAAAGAAATACCACAGTGATAATATGTGCAACCATGTCTGTAGTGGCACAGTCTGTATTAGCTGAGACCTGGAAACAACCCAAATGCCCACCAACTGGAGACAGACTGGATAAAGAAGATGTGGTTTTTCTATAAAATGGAGTACTACTCAGCCATAAAAATGAGAAACTAGAGACAATTATAGCTAAATGGATGCACATTGAGGCTATACTCTTAAGTGAAATAAATAGGACACACAAGTAAATACTGAATAGTTTCTCTGGTGTGAAAAACTAAAAGTGTGAATAAGGTTCAAATGGTATAAGTGATAGTGTAAAATAGGAAGAAAATGGCTAAAGGGGAAGTGGGAAGAGGAGGGGAAAGGAAATAAGGAAAAAGAAAAAATGTAAAAAAATGGAAACAAAGTCTTTGTAAATAGGAAAGGGGGAAGGGGGTGAAGGGAGGTCAAGGGTATGGGGATATCATACACATATCATGTAAAGGTACAAGATCCCAATGATAATTGTAACTGTATTGTTGGCTTTAAATGTACCAAAAAACTTAATGGGGGGAAAAGGAAACTCCAATTTGTTGATTTTGCTTTTATTTGCGTAGCACAGTACTGTAATGTGTAATAACATAAACTACAGCACTGTACTGTATGGTACCATCAGCAAAAATTACAGTAACTGTATAAGACAAGGTGTATGTACCCAAACATGATATCCAGCTCCATAGATAAGGTGTACAGAATTGTACAAAAAAATAGCTTTTTTAAATTAGAAACGGTTGTTCGCTGCTGCTGCTGCTGTCTCAAAGGATTGAAGCAGTGCCGAGTGGGCAAGTCTAAAAGGAACTTAATGGATTGCATTTATTTACATTAGCTTATTTCTTCTAAGTTTTTGAATATCAACGCTTTGGGCTTTTTTCAGTACCGAGGACTGAACTCCTTCCCGGTAAGTTGCATTCACGGTCCTTTTTGTTTTTGATTTTGAGACAGGCTCTTGCTAACTTGCCCAGGCTGGGCTCAAACTTGGAATCTTCCTCCCTCCCAGACTGCTGGAGTTGCATGTATGTGCCACTGTGCTCTCAGTGTGAACATTCAGACATTTACCAATTTCAAAACCCAAGACACTAAAAGTTACACCCTCCCTGTGATGTTCTGCCCTTACCGCCTATGTTCTTACACCACCCTCCAGCACTTCACACAAATACAACTATTATTTTCCTCCTCTCATAAAATTGTGCACTCTATACTTTGTTCTGAACTTTCCCCTACACCCACACCTGCACACACATCGTGGAAACAGCTTGGAATCCTTCCACAGCAAAAGGAACCCCTCCGCCATAGTATACCCATGGGCATGTTGTGTAGGAGACCTACAGTGCCCCACTGATCACAAAGGTTATTTTCATCATTTTCTGTGCAGACAGCTCTGCGCCTAGTAACCTTACACACAAGACATGCTTGTGCACGTACAGTGGGGGGGGTGCCCAGAAGAGGGGCGTGCGTTTGGACCACAGCCCCACACAAGGTGAACCACTCAGCACTCTTGACAGCAATATGTGAGATTAGTGCTTTTTATTTAATTTTGAAGGTTGTAAAGTCATGTATGCAGCACTCTGTGCTTGTGAAAATGTTTGAAAATCTCTTAATCACTTGGTAGTCTAAGAAGAAAGCATTTTAGGGATTCCAGAATGACTTCACCTTTGGTTGTTCAGGAGAAAAGCAGGTGAAAGCCATTCCCTTGAGCTTTGGAGTATGGAGGGTAGGGGGAGAGACTGATTAGACATGTGGCTCAAAACCCAGGAGGTAGCTGGGTGTGGTGGCACACACCTGAAATCCCAGTACTCAGGAGGCTGAAACAGGAGGATCACCACAAGTTCAAGGCCAGCCTGGGCTACATAGTGAGTTTGAGGCCGGCCTGAACTACACAGCAAGACCCTGTCTCAAAACCAAACCAAACCAGGAAAGATTTAGGTAGTTGGAAGGAAAGCTAAAAGCTAAAAGAAGACTGTTTTGTTCCAGCTCTGGAATTTTGTTTTGAAAAGATGTACGTATTCACCACCATCAAGAACCAAAGTGGATCTGAGTTTGCTTTATCCAACTTGTACACTTCACAGTTTCAACAACTCAAACATCATGGTAGATTGAGCCACTTCTGAAGCCACCTGCACCTACATGTACTTCCTGTCCCTTAACTTCAGGGTTTGGCTTTGTTTTGGCCAAAGAGATATTAACAGAGGACCCACCAAAGCCTGGTGCAGCACCGACCCGATGACCAGGCCTCTGCTTTTACACCTTTGAACTGCCAGGAGTATTTTCCCCAGGGAAGTTAGCACTGCCCCACAGCCTGGGTTTCAGAATAGAGCCACCTGGGTACCCTGTATGGTAACCTGACAGAGAAACCGTGCCAAGTGGCAGGCTGTGCCAGGCAGGGGCTGCTAGAGAGCAGAGCTAACTCATAGCTGCACCCCTTAGAATTGGTCCTCCCCGACCCTCAGTTCTGCACCCCACAAGCAAGTATCTTGACCTTTTGAAATTATTTCTTCTGGTAATTATGTCGGTATTTTTAAACTGTATGCTAATATTTTCTTTCTCATGTGTTGGCTTTAGACATAATATACTGACTTTCTGGAAGGTATTACTGTACTTTTTCATCTTATGGATACAAAGATTGAGGTCCAGAAGGGTGAAATGACTGTATAAGGTCCTCAGTCTTGGTCAAATTCAGATATTCTGATGCCAAACTTCACACTCTACCCACCAATGGCTCTGGCAGTTAATAATGTCAGTGACACTCATGAGTCTTTGTAGTTCAGACACATTTCTCATCACACATTTATAAAACACAGCCAAAAAAGCCAAGCATTTACCAAAAATCATTGCTCTTGTACTGGCAATGAAAACACCTCCTAGCCCATTTCCCTATTTCCAGGCAAAACCACCCCATCCTGTCCACTACCTTTTTACACATGACAAAGTTTTTATGCACTGTGGGAAGTACAAAACCGTCGCTGTTTTCAAAGACCTCACGATTATTGCAGCAGCTCTAACATTTAAAGAAACAGCTTTTGTTCTGCCTTGTGGAGCTCAGGTTCAGTAACACAGCATTACCATGGTAGCAACAGCCACCCATGGCCCTTCTCATCCGGGTTCTGAAACAACTCTACCCGAAGTCATCCCAATCATCCTTGAGAAGAAACACCAGGCCCTTTACTATTTTTTCACGGGTGACGGTTACATTTGGCATCTTCACATCTTACTAAGTAAACACCCTAAACGGGTTTCTACCCCGTTCCAATGTTCTTTTCCTGTCTATTTTGTCTTCTCCTCCTGGTCCCGTGAACTCCAGGACAGGACCTTCCATTCTCTCGGTCAGTGTTGGTCAGCGTCTATACGCAGGTGCTGGTAGCTACTTGCTGACGTCACCATGCTATTTGACGGATTTTCTTTGCTGCTCTCGATGACTACATTTATAGGACGCTGTAGTTTACGCTGCGACCATCCGATTTCTTATTCCTATTTTAATAAGTTCCTTATCTTTCACATCAAAATCATTTCATGGGCAGTGGGGAAGTTGACATCATTTTCACGATTCCGTGACTAGGAGGAATTTAAACTGAGATAGTAAGTTGAGGTATCAAATAAATGTATCTTTTTCTCTCTCTTTTTTTTTTTTTTAATTTGATACCAGGGATACGAACTCGGGACCCTGCGCTTGCGAGGCAGGTGGCGGCACCACCGAGCTAAATCCGCGGCCCTAAGTGTATCTTTCAACAAGCAGTCAAGGTAGGTTCTGGAGAAGTCTCGCCGACTCGGCGAATTTCCCCTCGGAGCCCCGGAAAGGTTAGGTCGCCGAGACCGGGGAAGAGTGGGCGAGCCCTGACATTTGAGGTAGCGCTGGCGTAAGGAGGAAATTCTGACG